TCAAATAAATAAATAAAATCTTAAAAAAAATAAAAAATAAAAATTAAGTCATTAAAGGGGCACCTGGCTGGCTTAGTCAGTAGAGCATGCAACTCTTGATCTCAGGGTCATGAGTTCAAGTCCCATGTTGGGTATACAGTTTGCTTAAAAAAAATTAAGTTATTAAAAATAAGTTTAGGGTCATGCTTCTGGAGATGGCTGAGAAGCTCTAATAAGGCCAACCCTCCCAGAGGGTAACAGCTATAAAGGCTGGAAAAAATATAAGAAACTACCCAAAGGCCTGAGAGAGCATCTAAAAGCAGACAGATTGTGGAGAAGGGCTGGACACCCAGAAGAAAGAAATGGCACTGGGCAATTTACCTGTCCACACCATGCACACAGAAATCCCAAAATCTCATTTGTTTGAGCAGAGGAGGTAGAAAGTGAAAGGTGAAAGCCCATTAGGACAGAGCCAGAGAGACAGAGAGCTGCAAAATCTTTGCATTAACCTAGCCCAAATCTCAAGTTGATTCCTGATGCATACATGTGTGGGCAGACTCCAAGAGCAGACCAACACAGAGAAGATATAATGTGGAGTTAGAATCCAGCCAAGTTAACTGTCTGCTAAAACAAACAAAAAAAATCAATACTCTTCAGTGGTACATAACAGAATCCAGAGTCTCCACAATGTATCATTCACAATGTCCAGGATACAATCCAAAATTAGTTGATATACAAATAAACAGGAAATATGATACATGCTAAAAAGAAAATACAATCATTGGAGAACCCCAAGATGACACAAATGTTGAAATTAACAAAGGTTTTCTTTTTTTGTTGGTGGTTTTTTTTTTTAAGATTTTATTTAAGAGAGAGACACAGCAGACAAAGATTTTAAAAGCAGATATCCTAACTGCATTTATGGGCATAAGAAAAATATGCTCATAATGAATAAAAGGATAGCAAATCATGGCAAAGAAAAAAAGATATTCTTAAAAAGAACTGAATAGGGGGGAAAAAAAGAACAACCAAACAATTTTCTAGAATTGGAAAGCATAATATCTAAAATTTTAAAATTCGCTGGGTGGACTTAAAAGCAGATCAGAGCTAACAAAAGAGTCAGTGAACTGGAAGATTAATAGAATTTAACCAACAGGAAGGGGAAAAGATTAGAAAAAAATAAAATGAACAGAACCTCAGAAACTGAAAGACAGAACATCCATGTAAATGGAGTTCCAAGAGGAAAGGAGAGAATGGAACAGAAATAAAAAACTGAAGAACATACTTGGTAAAAATCTCCCAAATTTGGGGAAAGACAAAAATGTACAGAATTCTCTGTAAGTCACTAAAACAAACCACCTTTTTAGTAATGTCATTATTAAATAAGAAAAAAATAAGGTCAATTGAATATAAGGTTTTGGTTTTGTTTTCTGAGGTAACTATGTCAGAATCAATTTTATGTACTGATTTTAAGAATTTCATGAGAGAAAAAAATACCAAAGAAAATCACACCTAGGCACATCATGGTAAAATGACTGAGAATAAAAGATAAAAAGAAAAACCTCTGAAGCAGTCAAAAGAAAATGAAACATTACATTCAGGGAAATACTGATTTGAGTGATCACTGACCTATCAGAAATAAGGTCAGAAGTGACATCTTTAAATCCTGAACAAAAATCTTGCCTTCTATATGTAGCAAAAAATTTCTTCAAGACAGACTGTAAAATAGAGACTTTCAGCTAAAAGAAAACTTGCGCAGCAGATGTACACGACAAGAAAGGCTAAAGGAAATGCTTCAGGCTGAAGGAAAGTGATACCAAATGGAAACTGAGATCTTTGGGAGGAAAGAAAGAGCCCTGTAAAATGTTGTAAATCTAAGACTACTTTTCCTTTTAATTTCCTTGAAGTACCTATGACTATTCAAAGCAAAATTTATATTGTGGAATTTAACCACAGAGAGATGTAACACCTATAAAAATTATAGCATAAAAGACAAAGAGAACATTACACATGCACCTTTATACAACCATAGAGCTCTTACCTTTTACCTGAAATGGCATAATGTTAACTTTGAGAAGACTGTGAGAATGTACATTCTAATCCCGAAAGCAACCATTAAAACACGTAATACAAAGTATAATTTGAAGTCAACAGATACATTAAAATCAATTCTAAAAATATTCAAATAATCCAAAAGGCAAGAAAGAAAGAACACAGGGAACAAAAAGAGAAAAAACACAAAGAAAAACAGATGGACGACCACACAGAAAACAGTAAAATGGCAGACATTATCTCCAACCAGATCAATAATGAAGTGAAAGGTTAACAAACTAAATACTCCAATTAAAAGGTAGCGTTTGTCAGAACAGATTTGTAAAAATATTCAACTATAGGGATGCCTGGGTGGCTCAGCTAGCTAAGCGTCTGCCTTCAGGTCAGGTCATGATCCTGGAGTCCCAGGATTGAGTCCCACATCGGGTTCTCTGCTCAGCAGGGAGTCTGCTTCTCCCTCTGACCCTCCTCCTCTCATGCTTTCTCTCTTTCACTCTCTTTCTCTCAAATAAATAAAATCTTAAAAAAAAATATTCAACAATAGGGGCACCTGGGTGGCTCAGTCGGTTAAGCATCTGCCTTCAGTTCAGGTCATGATCTCGGGGTCCTGGAACTGAGCCCCACATCGGGCTCCCTGCTCTGCGGGGAGTCTGCTTCTCCCTCTCCCTCTGCCCCTCCTCACCTCCCCCACTTGTGCTCTCTTTCTCTCTCTCTCTAATAAAATAAGTAAGTCTTAAAAAAAATATTCAAGGATATGCTATGCATATGTGTAATGTATTAAAAAATAAATATGTGGTCTCTGTCCCCAGTTCCCGACACGCAGCTGCTAAAACCCTTGGAATTTCTGGAATGATAAGAGTCTTTTGTACACTAATGAGATGAGAGGTGGCTGGGGACCTCGGGTGGCTTCAGGATGGGAGCTGGTCCCCAGAAGAATCAAGGCAAGATTAGAGGGTTGGAAATTTCAGCCCCACCCCAACCTCCAAAGAAAAGGGATGGAGACTGAGTTCAATCACCAATCGCCAATGATTTAATCAAACACGCCTATGTAATGGAGCTTCCATAAAGACTCCTAAATGGTGAGATCTGGAGAGCTTCCAGGTGGGTGCACAGGGTGGTAGGAGAGGAGCGGGCGTGGAAGCTGCCTACCACCGCACACCTCGCCCTGTGCATCTCTTCCATTTGGTTGCTCTTGTTTGCATCCTTCATAATAAACTCCTAGTAGTAAACCGTTTCCCTGAGCAGTGTGAGCCTGAAAAGAGGTGTGGGTGGGCATGGGAATATGCGGGCTCCAAAGCCAAGGCAGACCGAGATGAGGTCATGCAGGGACCCAGTAACTGCAAACGGGTTCTGGCGTGGGGCAGCCTCACAGGACTGAGTCCTAAACTATGGGCGTCCAGCACTGACTCCAGCCAGTCTTCAGAGATTTGAAGTAAAATGGACAGAAAAGGGAATGCCATGCAAACAATGTGGATGAAGGCTGGAAGAACCGTATTCGTGAAAGAGAAAGCAGACAGCGGCGCAAACAACGCTACAGAGGAGAGGGAGGGGTACTTTCTCAGGAAGACAGAACAATCACAAATGTGTGTGCATGTAATAACTTCAAAATACTCAAACACTGACAAAATTAAAGGAAAAATAGACAATTCTATACCCCTCTCTCAATAACTGATGTAAGCAGATAAAATGGTGGTCCAGGAAAGATATTACACACACACCTGAACATCAAAAGTCATGGAGGAAAGTCTGCCCTTGACTGAATGGTGCCTGAGGCGGCCATGTGCTAAAACCACAGACCGCCAGCAAGGGAGTCCACCTGCGGCAGCCCACACAGCTCTGCACAAAGCTCTACCCTTACTCCAAGTCCTCACCAATGCCTTAGAGAGTGACCTGCGATGAAACACGCAGGTAGTAACTTGGTATGAAACTGAGTGTTGATGGAGAATGAAAATCCAGAAAGACCTTCACGGGAAAGAACACAGGGTGAGAGCATCAGGCCATAAGCACGAAGTGGGGGGAACGTGGCTTCGTCAGGACACTGGTGAAAGACTCGCAGCTCAAGCTACGGCGACTCCGTTACCCTGACACAGGGATGAGCTACGCCCTGTGCTGCGCATACGGTGAAAGCGGCCGGGAATCTAGGCGAGGCCTACACGCCAGACCTCCGCCAGCGTGGGTGGTGCAGCGGGGCTCTCCTCCCGCACAGGGCACACTCTACAGCCACACAACCGACAATCAGCAGAAGAGCCCAGGGGCTCGACACCATGGGGCTCACCGGGGCGCACGGGGCCTGCAGCTGGCCGTGCCAACCAGCCTGCCGCCCGTCTGAGGATGCCCAGCCAGCCCCCCTAAGCCTGGAGGCAGGGCGAAGGAGCAGCAAGGAGCCAAACCCCGGCTCGGCTCGGGGTGGAGCCCTGTCCTGACTGAGGAGGCACTAAGCAAACACGCTGCAGGGAACAGGGGGGACGGAGCGCGAGGACCTGCGTGGACCTCCACAGGAGCCTGCCACCATGGAAACGGGCCAGAATCACACTTACCCTCTCCAAGTCCTCTTTCAGGCAGATTTCGTGCTGCAACTTCTCATGTAAATTTCTATTTTCTAGTTTTAAGACGTCAATTTCTTCCCTGAGCTCCGTCTGAAGAAGTGAGAGTTTAAGCCTGTGCTCAGTTTCCAAACCCAAGACTCTGGCCGTCACCTCTGTCTCCACCTCCAAGGCCGTGTCCTGTGCACACGGGAGCGGCACCAGAGCAAGCTCTGTGAGGGGACAAGGAGGCAGGAAGCACATCAGGCACGAGCCTTGAGGACAGCACACGCAGCACAGACAGGACGCTCACCTTCCAGCGCCTCCCAAAGCGTGGGCGCCTGGAACGCCGCTGCCCTGGGTGCGCCCAGATGACGAGCTGCCCTGTCCTGAGCTACCGGTACGCACTCACCACCCACGCCATCCCGCTAGTTGGGGTGCCAGGTGACTGTTTCCACTGTGGGAACGTGTGGCTCTGGGCCGGGGACCCCTCCTGAGCTGTTCAAGTCAGGACCTGTCAGCTTCCTGGGCTCAGGAACAAGCTGAGCAGCGACAGAAGCACTCCGTGTGTGCAGCAGCTGCGAAGGACCTCCCGCGCCACGAGGACAGTGAGAGGCAGATGCCAAGCACGTGACCTTGGCTCTCAGGAGCCATGCTCCTCCTCTTAGCCCGTCTCTTCAGCTCCAAGGGAGCCCTTGCCCAAAACGGGCAGTCGTGTCAGAGCACCCCAACAGGGATCCAGACCCCCACCCTCGCCGTGGGACGCCTCTGCCTTGCCTCCTCCGTGCTACAAGGGGCCGCAACGGCGCCCATCCCTCCTGGAATCCGTGTCCAAGGCTGGCCTTACACCTGCTCTCCTCAGCAGCGGGGTCACTGCCTGTCCCCATCTGCTGCATCCACTGGGAGGACCTCAGCTTCTCCATCCACCCCGTCTCCTGTGACCCCCAAGGCTGGACCTGGTCGGGCCCAAGCCCAGCCCCTTAACTCTGAGGACACCGCCAGGGAGGATCTGCAGAGTTAGAGGCTGGGATGTCCAAATAACCCACATGGGAGGCCCCAACCTTCCCACATATCGGGTCCTGTGGGCTGAAAGGCCACCAACACAGGCAGCAGGGAAGTGCACACACCTTCGCCGGGCCCTTCTGAGAGACCCACACGTTGCTCCCCTTCCAACACCTGGGTCCCTACGAGGCCCACCTCCGGCCGGGCTTCCAGGGAGGACTTCAACGCTGCTGGTTGGCACCAGTGGTTTTCTTCTAACTGCGTGTGCAAATGAGGGAAAAATCGCACAGAGGAAACGTTACGAGAGGCCTCTCTACCACGTCACCTAATCACTGCCTCCCACGTCACCCCTGCTGGGCCATGCGTGCGCACGCCATCTCCCCCATCCCCAGCATCTCACCTCCGGGGGGCCAAGTAACTCAGGGAGATGGCACACCATAGCCCTGAGGAGACAGGTGCGCACCGCTGGCTGGGGAGCCCTCCTCGCTCCCATGCGGTGCTCACCGAGGCCAACGCTGAGCCCCAGCTGCAGGGATGCCAAGTGGGCCATTCCTGGGAGCCTGACCAGAATATTCCTGGACCTGAACTGCAGGGAGACCCTGACCACCAGACCCCCTTCCCAGGGCCAGGGCCGCTGCCAAACATACTCTGCCCCACTGTGGGGGGCCCCCCAGACTGCTTGCTCCCAAGCTCCCACACTCCCCACTCTGTGTCTCCCCACTGTACTTCCCCGCCCAGAGTCAGACACATGTCTGGCCTGCTTGGGACATGGACCTGCCCCCAAGAGGAAGGGGCCCCAGCGGAAGGGTCTCTGGTCACTGCTGTGAGCACACCTGACAACAAACCCAGCCCAAGTATCCTGAGGGAAGGGAGGGAGGGAGGGAGGAAGGGAGGGGGGCAGGAAGGGAGGGAGGGAATAAGGAAAGGGCTCGATGCATGTGCTAAACTCTCCTGTTCCCCTTAAAATGCAGGCAGCAAACCCATTTTCCTCTAAAACTACAGAGGAGTCATATCAACCTCAACTTTAAGCTCACAATAAGCTCAAATTATCTTTTAAAGCAAGACTTAAATTCCTACATTGTTACAGAAACAAACCACTTGAGTGACAGGAAGAATCGAGTCCAGAAACAGACTTGTGCCCCTGGGACAACTAAGCACACAAAAGGTTGTGTTTTAACAAGTCAGGCCTGAAAGAGTGACTTGCCATTTGGAAAAAGGTCTTAAGCTCAGAGCCTACACCTCCTACTGGACAACAGCTAAGACCCAGGTGGATGAAAAATAAAAATTAGAAGACTTAAAAAGATTATCAGAAGAGGGGCACCTGGGTGGCTCAGTCGGTTAAGCACTGCCTTGGGCTCAGGTCACGGTCCTGGAGTCCCAGGATCAAGCCCCACGTCGGGCTTCCTGCTCGGCGGGGAGCCTGCTTCTCCCTCTGCCCCTCCCCTGGCTTGTGCTCGCTCGTTCTCTCTCCCTCTCACACTCTCTCTCAGATAAATAAAATCTTTAAAAATAAATAAGTAAAATAAAGAACAAAATAAAAGAATCAGAAAATGATGCAGGAAAACACCGGGCGCTCTGAGAAAGGGGATGAAGAGCCAAGGGCCAGGGGAGGACCCACAAGTGCAGACCCGGGCCCACGAGCACCCGTGCGAGAGAGAGCACAGCTGAGTCCAACGGCGAGCAGACTGGGCCCTCTGAACCACAGGGGAAGGCGGGCAGATGCGACAAGAGGAAAGGTGTACAGGGAGAGCTTCAGAGGGGGAGAAGAGTCCATTTCAAGCAAAAAGAGGTTTGACCTCATTTAAAACCAAAGAAACAGAAACTGGAAGAGATACTGGCTGTCCATCAATGGGGAAAACAAAGGCAATGTCCAGCGGTAGGTGGGGAGGGGGTGCATCGGGTTCCCACACCCCGCTGGGGGGAGTTCAGCCAGACACCCTGCAGAGGGCACAGTGGCCTGTCAACATTTCAACACACACACAGGCGCGCATAAACACGTGCACACACACACACATTCCATCCTTCTAGTTTTCCTGCCTTCCTGAAATGTGGCTACGATGACCAGGAAAATTTAACTTAGAAACCCATGAGGAGAGAAAACAGGAAGAGGTCTTCAAGACACCAAAGCTCACCAACCTCGGGAAAAAAGTCAGTGATCACGGCAATGTCCGGGGCCCAGGCGGCAGAAGGGCTGCACGCACCCAGGGCCCGCGGGCCGAGGCTGGCCGTGGGGGGCGGGGGACCTGGCCATCTAAGGCAGGACCCCAGGAGGAGCTCTCCCCAGAACCAGGGATGCCTCACACCACCCGTGAAGACACAGCCACGAGTCACAAACCACACAGGGGGCCCCCGACATCCACACAGCACAGACACCCACACGGACGGACGGGAAGCAGGAGAAATGCTTCAACACCGACGGTCTCCAGAGAGGCGCGTGCAAACGCTGCGCCCATGGCACAGACGGAGGACACAGCAAGAGAGCAGAACCCCTAGAAATTAAAAATGACAACAGAAATAAGAAATTTAACTGAAGAACTGAGAACAAAGCTCGCAAGAGCTGCAAGGACACTGAAGAAGAGCAGTGCCAAGACCAGCCTCCTGGAAGCGAAGGCAGAGTCTCAGACACAACCCCCCACCCAGTGTGAAAAGTGGACTCACACGCACGTGAACTGCTCACTGAAAACTTCAGGGAACTCACAGGGACCTCAGAGGGGCTGGCAGCACAAGCAGCCCACACACGAAGGGAGAATCAGCGGGACGGACGGGCCGGCGGCTCTCCACGGTGTGGGGGCGAGAGGACAGAGAACACGTGCCAGACGTCACACCCGCCAAACACACACGAGAACGAAACGGGCTCTCAGGGGGCTCCCCTCACGTGCCCTTGCGTCTCCACTGAGGGAACAGGCGCAGCAAAGAGAGGGGCCGCGTGCAGACACACGCCTGCTCCCCAGGCAGCAAGGACCACCCAAGGAGAAGGCAGGGTGACTCCAGGACGACAGTGGGCGGGGGCCCAGAGGGCAGGACAGGGCTGTGGACAAGGACCCAGCGGCACGACTGTGCCGGGCACGAGGGCTCTGCTGCTGCGGAAGCTACACAAGGCCCAGCGGGACACACGCCGCACCCCCGTCCCCAGGAAAAAGTCACACGCAGAGACAGTTCTAGCAAAGGACATTAACAATGGGAAACTGGAAGCAGCCTGCTAAGCAGGATAAACTGGGTCCCCAAAATTCACAGGTCCAAGTCCAAGCCTCCAGCACCTCAGAGTGGGACTATCCGGAGACAGAGACGCCAGGGGCACGTGTGCACAGAAGAACCACATGAACAGGCAGCTCGAGAGCGGCCAACCGCAAGCCAAGGAGACAGGCCTCAGGAGAAACCAGCCCTGACCTCCAACTTCCAGCCTCCAGACTGAGATGATAAATTTCTGCTGTTCAACCATCCGGTCTGTGGTATATTCGTGATGGCCACCCGAGGCGACTGAGACTAACAGATGCTGACGCCGAAGCTGTGCTCGCTGGGGCACAGCACGTCTGCACGGAGCCACCACGGTCTGTCACGGCACGCCACCTGCCCAGGGTGGTGGCCACGAGACCCGGGCTACCAACACCGCAAGGCATCACCATCAAATAAAAGGGAACCTCGGGTGACAGGAGGGCCACACTGGCCACATCTCAAGTGCTCGCAGCCCATGTGTCCACGGACTGACGGGACGGATAAAGAACACGCGGTGTGGACACAATGGAATGCTACTCAGCCGTAAAGAAGAACGAGACCTTGCCATTTGTGACAACGTGGATGGACCTCGAGGGTGTAAGCAAAATAAGTCAGTCTGAGAAAAACACGTCCCGCGTGATCTCACTTACACGTGAAATCTTGAAACTGAGCTGAGATACAGAGAACAGACTGGTGGCTGACAGAGGTGGGGGTGGGGGGACAGAATGGGAGAAAGTGTCAGAAGACACGAACCTCCAGTTACAAAACAGAGTCTGGGGATGTAGTGCGCAGCACGGTGACCAGAGGTAAAAAGCTGTCCTGTACCCCTCTGAAAGCTGCTGAGAGGGTAGACCTTAAAGGTTCTCAATCACAAGAAAAAGAAACCCCACAGCCCTGGGTCTGACAGACGTTAGGTGGACCCACTGTGGCGGTCACTCACCACACACACAAACGTCACACCTTGTGCACCTGAAACGGACGCTACGTCCGTGTCCCCTCAACAAAGGACAGAAGGGCCCGTCACCTCAGGCTGAAGGCGAAGTCCGTCGCAGTGTTCTCTTCTTCCTTTCTCAGACCTCTCTTCTAAACACACACTGGGTGGACTAAGAGAGAAAATGTGTTTTAAAACCTCCTCATATGCCCCTTCTCCTCCCTGCCCCCTCCACGGCGATCCTACTTCCCGTCAAGGACAGGAGCCCTCTGCTGAGTGGGCCGTGTCTGTGCGACCGCGTGGCGGGACCCTGTGCCGGAGCAGAGGGGACCCCGGGTGCCGCAGGTCACGTGCCGCTCCTAGCCTTAACGCTCTCTTGCTTGGAGGCCCAAACATAAACTGTGTTTCTAAAACACAAGGCTCCTGCTCTCCACTGGCATGAAATCACAAATATAACGAGATTTCAATTCAGCTCAAGGTTCCCACGTTTCGAAAACACGCTGATGATGAAAAGCACTTATGCACCTGATTTCCACAGACTCCAGAAGAGACTCTTCATTCACCTCCTGCAGCCGCTGCTGTAACACAATCAGGTCTTCTTGGTAGCTTTTCTCAGCCTCCTCTAATTTCTTCTCAAAGTAAATTCTCAACTGCTCCAGCTCAGACTCGTGCTCGGCCTTCTCTCGCTGCTGCTGCTGCTGGAAGTCTCGCCTTAGGCGCTCTAGCTCTTCCCCGTGAGGCGTGAGGGCCGGGAGCTGGTCGTTGAACTCTTTAATGGGAAGGAATTACGCAGTCACCTTCAGACGAAACACTGAGGAGACATCAGGAGACACTGCAGACCTCAACTCCAGAAAGGGCTCCAGTCCCAGCACCCGTGAAGGTGAAGCGGGACCACCTCCGTGGCTTACGCTGGGCGGCGCCTCACACCAGGAGGTGGCCTGGGCGGCCTCAGCGGATCCCATGGGCCCCCCCGGAAGCAGAGTGCCTTCCCAGGCTGGTGCTGAAGGCGTCAGAGCCCAGAAGTGTGAGAGGCCCTCCGCATGCGGCTCGGGCCACAGGGCAGGGATGCGGGCGGCCCCCAGGACCTGAGAGCCCCAGCCAGCGGCCAGCACAGAAACAAGACCTCGGCCCTACAACCGCAGGGACTTAGTGAGCCACGGGCGAGGCCCAGCCAACACCCTGATTCCGGCTGCGGGTGATCCTGGACAGAAAACCCAGGCACGCCCTCCCATTCCAACCGACGTAACATCTGCTGGCTAATAAATGTGTGTGGCTTCAAGCCACTGAATCTGGGATGTTTCATTAAGAGCAGAAGAATAGTAATACCCACGGACCTCGAGAAAACGCACCACCACTGCTGTTTCCAGCAAGAAAATGCTACAAGCCGCTTAACAATAATTAATAATCAGCTTTCAAATGATGTGGGTATAAACTGGTCCCTACCCAGAAGTTTCAAGACAAACATCCCTGGAAGGAACCCTGGAGGCCAGGGCAAGGCTTCCCCTACGGCCTCGCGAGAGCTGACCGCTCAGGAGCTTGGGAGAGCCGTGAGCCGCACCCACCGCCATCAACACACCGGAGCGAGCGGACAGGCGAGGCCTCGCCCACCACACAGGTCTCTGGCCCTTCCTCATAACCCTGCTCGTTGCCCCCGGCAAGGGGGACCCCTAGACTGAAAAGGCCCCACCTAGACAGCAGCAGCAGAAACACACGCGTCCGCCTGTCTCGCTCGCGTCTCCTGACTTGCCCTGCTGAAGGCGCTGTCCGCAGGTGGGGACTATTCTTATAGAGACTCTCGTAGGAGGTGCCAGGTGAGCTGCTGGGCCCTGCCGACTTGGGGGTCACCCTCGGGGCCACGGGAACCTGACAGCACCTGCCCAGGTGAGCTCACAGGGTTCACGGGGCGTCGCGCGGTAACGCGCACCTGCACTCCCCCCAAATGCCCGCTGACTCGGCTTCTCGGTAGACGCCAGCCCTGCTGAAAGCTTTACCCATCTCACACTCGCAAACTGCCTCATAGGAACGTGAGAAAAATCACGATTCTGTAGCCGTTACTCAGCTAACTTGCTCGAAGATGAAATCAAGGCCCTCAAGTTTCCACCTTAAAACCACACCAATCTTCAAAGAAGTTTACAAAATCGCTCTTTCTGTGCCTGCTGCAATTGTTAAGTCCTAGTTTGGGGTTTGAACAATTAAAAACACAGCTGTAGCTTTTGAGGATCTGAACTTTCAACATGAAACTCCTCACCACTCGAGTCCTGTCTGTCAGGTGTCGGAGACTCGACCTGAGACCACAGGCGCCGGATCTCTTCTTGCGACTGAGCCTTCAGCTCTGCGTAGGATGCCCGGAGGCTCTCTAACTGGAAAAGGAAGGTGACATGTGAGACGCCACCCGAGACCAAGCCCAGAAGGTATGCACCCAGCTCTGGGGGCACGCAAGGCAAAACCCCAAACCTGCAGCCAAGAGAAAACCAGCCACAGCGGCAGCACAGAGAAACTACAGCTCATTTCTAACAGGCCTTTACCTGCTTGTAGTCTTGTTTTCCCCTCACTGAATGAGGACGGAAACTTTCTCCGTTGTCCTAAACACAGATCCTTCTAACTTGTCAGGGGAGGGAGGGCTGGACTCCTTCCCAGGCTGCCGGGGGTCCCTCTGTTGTCCGCCCCAGGGGCCATCCCTCCCCCTCCTGTGGCATGCTGGGGTTTTCCCTGCATTTTTCGGTTAGCCCCCCTGGAAAGGGTCTCTTCAGGGGTGAACAGAGTCAGCCCACCCTGCACCCACGGAGCTGAGAGCAGCAACCACTGTCGGGGTGGGCCCGGGGTCAGGCCACAAGTCGCCCACGGCACTAAGTGGGTGGGTACGCGTGCAGGGCTGAGGGCTGAAGGACAAGCCCTGCCAGAGGGGACACGGGACGTGGGAGCTTTGGCCTACAGTGGCCCTGAGGTCAGCCTGCTGCCTCATGCAGGGACAGGACAGAAGCCTCATGCCCTTCTGTGTTCCTTTCCCATCGGCAAGGGAGAATCAGCACGGAGGTGATGAGGAAAGGCGGCCGGAGCAGGTGTAAACGCCACGGGGACAGAAGCACAAGCTCCTCCCGGACTCTCCTCTGAAATCCAGGCACAGGTCGAGACGGACCCGGCCTCTCTGACTTCTTGGCCCGATGCCTGGGGCACTGATGGTCCTGGGACAGAGCCCTCGGTGTCTGAGTAAGATCTGACCACACCCTGCATCGTGGGTATGTGGTGTCTTGCTGGAAGAGAGTTCTGAATACACAAGCAGCAGAAATGTTTCTGGCTAAATCTTCTTAGGACTTCTGTGCTTATTTAGGATTATGGTCAGAGAACATGGCCTTAGACCCCTAATGCCTGGAGTCTGGGTCTCAGGGGCACTGGTAAAAAATACAAATTCTGTGTGTGTACGATCCAGCATAACCATTACGCCAACTCCACAACTCTGTCTTTACTTCTCTATCTACTAAATACCGACAGTCTCTTTAAATTTACTACTTAAGAGGCGCCTGGGTGGCTCAGTCATTGGGCGTCTACCTTCGGCTCAGGTCATGACCCCAGGGTCCTGGGGTCAAGCCCCATGTGGGGCTCCCTGCTCAGTGGGAAGCCTGCTTTTCCCTCTCCCACTCCCCCTGCTTGTGTTCCCTCTCTCGCTGTGTCTCTCTGTCAAATAAATAAATAAATAAAGTCTTCAAAAAAATTAAAATTAAAATTAAAAATAAATTTACTACTTAAGTTTCAGCAAATAACAGAATATGAAAACAATCCCATCCAAAATCTTCTAAAACCTCCCCTCCCTTGCCAGTTGGAATACAGAAGTCCCTGCCCACCTCCAGCTGTTTTTCTGCCTCCTGGTCTCGGAGTCTCTGCTCCAAGTCCCGCACGTACTGACCGCGCTCAGACTGCAGGTCTTCGCGAAACTGTCGCAGGGCTGCTTCCTGTTGGGTCTCCAGAGTCCTCAGGGCACCTGGACAGCGGCACACACACCCCTGAGGGCATGGCCTTCTCAGCCACGCAGGAGCACAGCTCCTTCCAGACCCCAAGGTCCCAGCACCCTGCGCTCCTGGGGGGCAGCCCAGACGGGCACCACCTCCTCACCGCGGTGGCACCGTGGGACAGGAATAAAAGGTAAACAATCGCAGCATTACCTTCTTGATAACAATTTAATAATGGAACATGGACAAAGGTCTCTGAAACAAAGGTTTCAGGAGAGGTTAGGGAGCTTGAGATGTCTGTGGTCAACGAGGGGAGACCCCAAGGCTGAGCCTGAGCCGCCCAGCGGGCCCCGCACCTGTCTCCACCACTGTGGGCGACATGCACCCATAGCCCCTCTGGCAACGAAACGCAGGACGCTCGTGCCCAGCGTGAGCCTGGCATGGCATGTGACTTTCGTTCTGGCATTCCACACAAGCACTCAGTCCCCTCTTCAAACCTGCTCATTTTAATTTGAAACTCACATTCGGCCTGAGTTTTGGCTTGAAAAATCTTCTCCAATTCAGCTTTCTGTTCGGCCAATTCTTTCTTAAACTGGTCTTGTAAATTCTCCAATTCCAACCGATGCTTTGCAGACAATTCTCTGCGTAGGTTTTCTAAGCATAAACCCCTCTCCGATTCCCAGTCTTGCTTCAGGTTCTAATTCAAGTAAGGAGGGAAAAAAGACTATGGGCCAACAGTGGACTATCTGTGGTAAGAAATTTAAATTAAATTCGAAAACCAGGTGTGGGCAGTCACTGTGCCAGACCAGACTGTCACTATAGGAAGCTGAATGGTCCCCACCAAAGACAAGGACAGGAGCAGAGAAAGCTAGGACCACCTGCCCAGAAACAAAGCGTGGACGGAGGTCATGCTCAACAATTCACACACCCGTCCTCCATGAAGGACCCAGGATCCTACAGTGACATCACCCGACCTCTGCAGAGGGCTGGCCTGGCCCCAGGTGCCCTAAGAAATGAGTCCCCCACCATCCAGCTTAGAGGGGTGGGGCACAAGCCTCTCACCTGGGACTAACAGCCGCCCTCCACCAACTGCCCGATTAGAGCAGCCAGGACGCAAACACCCACGTGCCCCACGTCCGATATGTGCTCCCTAACGTCATTAACGTCCCCCGACCTCACCAGCCCCTTCCTCTGCTGTCACCGGCACCAACAGGCCTTCCACAAATGCAGCCTTGAGAAAGGGACCCATGGCCAGGATGAGAAGTTCCAGTGAGGGGCTTCTTCGGAGAGGCGCTAACTGTGTCCCGCCCTGAACACAACTCTCTCCCCAGGAGGGCTGTGGGCTGAAATCAGGGGCACCAGCAGAGGACGTGTGGTCAGCCCAGCACATGGGGCCGGCTGCGGCATCGGCCGCACAGCAGCTCCCCCGCCCTGAGCTTCCCCAAGGTGCCTGGGATCTGCGCCCCACACTTTTACTCAGTTGCCACAGGGCACCTCCCTGCCCTGGCACGTCCGTCAGTCCCGGAGCACAGTGAGGCCACCTGGGAGCAGACTGAGGGTGCAAGAGCTTCATGTTATAGAACAAGTTATAGTTGTTCTATAACAAGCTATATAACAAGCTGTGCTGACAAATTCAAACTGCCCAAAGAAAAGGATGCTTTTCCTCTAAAGCAAAAGGCAATGCATTTTCTACCAGCATGTTCAATAAAGCTTTGATGGGGTATCTGTCTGAATCGGGTGAGGGGCTTTCCCGTGGGGACTCCAGGCAAGCTGGAGGGATGGAGGGAACGGGGAGACGCCGCACACCCAGAATGACATTTCTAACCACGTCTACCTCTATCGTCCTCGCGTTCTTCTCCATTTCTGCCTGTAACTTCTCCTTCAGCTCGGCTGCAAGAAAAACATAAAAGCAGATGGGATCACAGAGTCTGACCACGTGGAGGGGAGAAGGCTGCCGGCACGCACAGGCCGCTCCACAAGAACACTCTGCAACACTCCCAGGACAACAGGGCGTGTCTGTGAGGGAACATGAATTCCACGTGTGACGTAACGAACGAATTATATTCCTGCCCAAAGCAAGGGCGGAGCCTTCCAGCCAGCCTGACAGCCACACAAGCTGGGGGGTCCCTGGGCACCTTAGACCCGAGTCCCCCTCTGGTCTGTCTGCCCCACACCAGCCCTCACGCACCCTGGGCCTGGAGTCCAGGCTCCCGCCGTGCCAGACTCCAGGCAAGGTATGGAAGACAGACAGGCAAAGACATTCTAGGACCCGGCAGCTCCCGAGCCCCAAGGAAGAACCACAAGAAAAGAGGTACCAGGTGTTGGGAGTGCAGAGGAGGGAGAAGGCTGGACCGGTGGGCGTGGCCTGACATGGACTGAGAGGCGTGCACACCTGGGGGTGTGGCACCAGGAAGAGAAGCAGGGACCTCAGGAAAAGGGCTGAGGCGCAGCTGGGGCCAGCCAAAGCCACATGTGGAAGGTGAGGGGCCTGAGCAAGCCCAGAGCTCAAGCAAAAGCCAGGCACCACCTCTGAGGGGAGGTCACAGGGGCCCAGGCCAAGGCAGAGCCTCACGGAGCAGAGGGCAGGCGTGCGCCCCTTTGTGTTCCCATCTCCAGCGGTGAGCATAGAGAAAACAGCATAGGAAAGGGCCCAAGGTAAAACATGTTCTGTATTTTCAAAAATGAGCAGAAACGGGGGGACATAAAACTACTTATTTATGTTTATTCGAATCTACATGAAGAAACATGGGACGGTATCCCCAGAACCTGAGAAGACTGGCTCCCTCTGAAGGCTGGGGGTGGGACTCGGAGGAGGAAGACTTTCAACACATCCAGGGCCACGCACGCTGCTTTCATTTTTCAAATGAAAAACTCAAGAAACAGGCAGATGAGCAGAGAAATGGGGATGACTGCTCATGGGCACGGGTTTCTTTCTGGGGGATGAATGTTCTAACCTTAGACTGTAGGGATGTTTGCATGACTCTGAAACGCACACTTTAAATGGGAGAATTGTATGGTATGTGAATTACAGCACAATCAAGCTGGTGTTTACAAAACTGTTTATGAAAGTAGTGACTAACAGAAAAATAGGAAAAAAACGTTAAAACATAAAATTATCTCTTACATGCAAATAAAGAGCTCAGTCTAGGCCAGAGAACCACCAAAAGAAAAGGTGCCTAAGCCGTCCACCAGGAGCGACGTGGCCCCACTGGGAGCAGAGTGAGGAGCTTGTGGGATGTGGGGGTCTGTGTCCAGGAGCATCTGGGTCGGCCACAGACAGTCCCGTCAAAGAGGCGGACACGGAAACTTCCAGCACACAAGCAGATCACCTCCAACGACGCGACACCATTTCAGAAACGAACACAAGCCCACCGGACGCGCGGACAGAAGGCAAGGGGACAGCAGAGCCCCACAGCGCAGGAAGCACACCGCCCCACCCAGGACACAGACAGGGTCCCGCACGCGGCACTTGTGCGTGGGCAGGGAGATCTGCGTGGGACACGCCCCTGACGGGCGCCCCGCCTGCCTCCCCAAAACCAGCAGTAGGGGCCCGTATGTCGCCGACAAGTCATGGGGAAGCCCACGCCCGGCGTGCAGCCCGTACCTGTCTCCCGGCTGCAGCGCTGCACCGTCTCCTCCCGCTCCCGCGCGTGCTGCCCCCTGGTCAGCTCGAGCTCCTGCTGCTGCCTGCTCCGCAGCAGGGCCAGCTCCTGGGCATGCCGACCGTTCAGCATGGCCCGCAGCTCCGTCAGCGCCGTCTCCTTCTCCTTCTGGAGGTTGGCCTGGGTCAGCTCCAGCTGCACCGTGTGCATGTTGCTCAGACTCAGGCGCAGCGCCTCCAGCTCCAGGGAAGGCACCGGCTGCAGGACAGACAGGGGCTTCTGGGCACTGGGGAAAGCAGCTGCGCAGCTGCGCTGCCTGGCGTGGCCGTGTCTGCCAAGACGCTGCAGCAGCGACCCCCTCCCACCACCACCACAGGCTCTTACACCTGCTTTCCGAGCCTCGTGCTGCAACACCGGCCAGCTCCCCGCAGGACCTCAGGCAGCCCGGGCACAGCCTGGCAGCTCGCCAACCACCTAAAACTGCACCCAATCCTACCCTGAAGCCCTGTAGCCCACATGTGCTCTCCCTCCACCTGAACCGCAGCTCTGCAGACGGCCGAGGCCACACAAAGCCCGCGGCCACACAGGAGGCCCCAACCTCCCTTCAGGCAGGCTCCCCAGCCCATAGGCCCATCCTGGCTGGAGCCAGGTGAGCAGCCATTCCAGATGTTGCAAGACCCCCGTCGGAACCATGGGACGAGAACCAGAATACAGACAGGAGGAGGCTCGGGACAGTCACTGCCAACGAGGGCAAAATGTGAGGCCAAACAGGGCCCAGCAGTGGCTGAGTTAATGACCCCATCAGGAACCCCATGCTCCAGACCAGAGACAAGCAAGCTCTGTACTTCACTGCTCTGGAAGGTGGGCAGAGGAGACAAAGGAGACACTTCTGTGCCTAGCTAAGATATGGGGAATCTGTGCTCCTTCCGCTGCCCTGGGGAAAGTGGAGGAAGGTCAGGGTTCCAGGAAGCATACCTTATTCCCAGTTAACACAAACAACATAAAAACATGTCTGGAACTTAGCACTTAAGGGACACCCAAAAAAGCATAAAAATAAAATGAATAAAGGGGAGTGCCTGGGTGGCTCAGTCGGTTAAGCGTCTGCCTTAGGCTCGGGTCATGATCCCAGGGTCCTGGGATCGAGCCCCGCGTCGGGCTCCTTGCTCTGCTCATGCTCTCTCTCTCTCTGTCAAATAAAATCTTTGAAAATGAAGAAATAAAAAAAGATAAAGGACAGCAATAAGCAGAAACCATGGGAAAAGAACATGTGCCTCCAAAGAGGCCAGTAAGGAGCTCCAGCAGGACAGGGAAGCCACAGTGAGGTGCAGGGACGCGCACCAGCCCTCCCACCGCAAGGGCGTGTCCAGAGCACCCTCTGCTCCCCGTAGGTGGCAGCCACCGGGGGAGTCGAATGTGCCTCCAGGACAGCCTGGCTCCGGCTTCCCTTCCTCGAGGCCCCTCACGGCCACGGAACCACCTGTGTTTAATGAGCGGGAGCGGCAGCTGACAGGGACACCACCAGCAGTGCGGTGAGTGGCACCTCCAGACCCGCTGCCCCAGGCGTCCTCGCACGTCCCTCCCCCTGCCCTTTCAAAGGCCCCCCACACAGCAAGCCTGCCGCACACATCCATCCACTCTGTGACAAACCTGTCCTACCTGCAACCCTCCCAGACCCCCAAGCCCACTGGTGCAAATTACAGGGCGAGTGTGCAGGGATCGGCCACACCCCGAGGACCTGGACGTGGGCCCGAGCATGCCGGGTCACCTGGGCCTGCAGCCGCACCTGCTGCATCTCTGTCGGCCGCTGGGGCTCCACGGCCACCTGCTGCTGTGCGCCGACCTCATCCTTCTGTCTTCTCATCAGTTCCGCAATTTCTAGCTTATATTCTTGCTCACGGTCCTAGAGGAGGAGCGCAAAGGACGTGACCCAGAGAATTCACATGAGGAAACAGTCACTAAAAACAATTACGACACACCAGAGAGAACTGAGCCCAGCAGTGTTCACGGCAGCACGACTCACAACTGCCAGAAGGTGGGAACAACCCAAGTGGCCACAGACGGGGGACGCATAAACACAATGTGGAAAAGCCAGCCAGGGGGGCATCACTCAGCCATAAGGAGAAGCTACGATGCTGATAACCTCCAAACGTCACACTCCGTGAGAGCAGCCAGACACATACTGTGTGGTGAGAATATGAAATGTTCAAACAGGCAAATCCACAGGGACAGAATGCCGGCTGGTGGGCGCCCGGGCTGCAAGGGCAGAGGAATGGGGAATGGCTGCTAATGGGCATGAGGTTCCTTGACGGGTAATGAAAATGCTTTGGAATTAGACAGTTGTGATGGCTGCACAACAAAGTGATTGTATTAAAAACCACTGATATATATACACTTTAAAATGGTGAATTTTGTATATGTGAATTATATCTCAATAAAAGTAACTATGAAAGAACATTAAACCTGTTTAAGTGGCTGAGGGTAAAGTGGAAAACCCCAGAGAGAGGCCGCTGCAGGTGCTGATACTGGACAGCAGTGTGAGCTCCCCAGGCTGTCTCTGGGGATACTTACGGGAGGGAAAATGTACGTAAGTGATACTTACAGGAGGGAAAATGTACATAAAATGCCTGGAAGTGGTGGGTGCCAAAAAAAGCTGAATGAACCTGAAGATGTAAATTTGAAACATTTTACAGCTAGTAAATCAGCAAAAGTTGGTGATAATATTGATCCTCAGTGTCACCAAGGTCAAGGGGAAACAACCAAACACTGTCAATGACAGAAAAGTTGGTGTAACTTTTTCTTACGAGCTATTTTGACAACATACGTCAAAAGCCATAGAAAATGTTTCTGTCTTAATATTCCCAACTTCGGGGGCACCTGGAAGGCTCAGTCAGTTAAGCATCAGACTCTTGATCTCAGCTCAGGTCTTGAGCTCAGAGGCGTGAGTTCAAACCCCACGCTAGGCTCTGTGCTGGGCTCAGAGCCTACTTAAAAAAATTTCTCAACTCTGGGAACATTTTCAACATCACCAATCCAAAGGGAAAAGAAAAACTACAGGCCCTCTGAGAGCGTCCCAGTCTCCCCTACCCCCCCCCAAGCCCCCACCCCACGCGGGCCACGCCCCTCCTGCAGCAGGCCACTACAGCTGCAAGCCTCCCAGCTTCCCCTGTGTGACAGCCCAGATCTTTCTCTGGGGCTTGTCTACAAGGCACCTTAGACTCAAAGCGAACCGAATTTTCCTGTCCAAGCTAGGGCTCCTCCAACATTATCCACCTCAGTTAACAGCACCCCCAAACCCTCACAGTGCTCCTACTCCTGCCTCCCCTTACAGCAACCCCACAGCAGTCCAAGGCCGGTCCTGGCATCCCTCCATTCCCATGAGCGCAGCTGAGTGGCCCCCATGGTCACTCAGCCTAATGTGAGGTCACTGGCTTGGAGACCAGATGATGCATTCAGAAAATAAATTCAACCTTGTCACTCCCTTGAAAGACTCAGTGCACCTGCTGCCCTTGGGGGCAGTCCCTCCTGCTGTCCCATCTGGCACTTGCCTCCTGCACCAGGGAGGCCCCTGCGACCTTGGACCAGCTCTGCCTCCCCTCCTTTCGCTCCTCTGGGATCTTCCCAGCCCTGATCCCCCACCCCTGCAGAGGCTCCCACTGCTCCCTGCACGTGTCAGTGATGCCCAGGAAGCACTCAGCACTGCTGGGAAAACGCACCCGCAAGTACCCCTCTATCTATGAGGGCCCACGACGTGGAGGCAAACTGTTCCAAGGGGAGTGTCAGAGCCCATTAAATATCATTATGGATGCTTCATCAAATTAAAGGGCTTTTGCCAACGGTAAAAGGTAATGTAGGAATGTCCAGTTTTAAAGATAAAAGGCAGAATCTTAAAACATTTTTGCTACAAACATCAGAATTGTTGGATAAAATGTAACAAAAGTGACTCTAAATGTTCTAAGGGAGGGAACAGCCCAGGTGCCAGATGGAGGGATGTGGAACGTAAAACGATCTAGGGAGACAGGGACACGTCGGAGCACCACACGCTCCCAGAATCGGTGGCTTTGCTGGGAGGGCGGTTAGAAATGAGACTGTCGGGCACAGCCAGGTGTCCTGAAGGCCTGTGCGGCAGGATAGGACGCGTATCCTCACTGCCCGAGTGCAGGAAGGCCAGGGAGCTCACCCATCTCCAAATGAGGAGGCAGAGGAGGCGAGGTAGGGGCGTCTCTCCTGAAAAATTAAAACCCAGGCCTGCTCATCATACTTGTTGACAAATTTATACATGCCATGGGATGCAGAAATCCCCAAGCAAAGAAACTGACCTAAAAATAAGTCCTAGCAAGGGCACCTGGGTGGCTCAGTCGGTTAAGCATCTGCCTTCAGCTCACGGACCTGGGATCGAGCCTCAACCTCAGGCTCCCTGCTCAGCAGAGAGCCTGCTTCTCCCTCTCCCTCTGCCTGCTGCTCTGCCTACTTGTGCTCTATCAAATAAATAAAATCTTAAAAAAAAAATCCGTCCTAGCAAAGGGCTATTCCCGGGACACCAATCGGATACAAATCTGGGACCCATTTGGAGGGGCTCGCACAAGCCAGGACACAGATATTCTCAGGGAAACCACACAAACACCTCACTAAAAGTGAGCACACAACAGGCTACTCCAGGAAGGGTAACAGGTACCTGAAAAGACCTTCGGCAGCACCCACAATGGTCCCCACACAGGTGTGCAACTTAAAATAACCCCAAGCCATACAGTTAACTTACAGTGAAGAACTGACCACACCTCTAAATACTGGGCAAAATTCAGACCAATTTGCTCATAAAAAGATAGTTACACTTAAAACAAAAGCAGCCTCAAAGTATCTCTAGGAAACGTTACATAATACAAAATGATATCACTGTCTTTAAGAAATCCAAACAGAATGTCTTGAAATACAGACAGCAAAGACAAAATCAACAACTCAACAAACAGATTTAAGAGCAGATGACACACACACGAACAGAGTCAGTAAAGGAAGAGATAACCCCGATGAAATCTTTCAGGGTAACCAAAAGAAGGAAAGTACAGAAAACAAGATGGGACAAGTGTATACAGAGGAGCTCTGAAAACCTTCCCTGGAATTTCAGGCCCTGGAGAAAGAAGGGCCAGACGCTATGCATGGAGATACTGCCTGGAGATTTTCTAGAAGCAACAGAAGCGAAAGATATCAGCCACAGACCGAGAAAGACCCCATGATCCACGTCGCTCTAGTAAAAGAACAGAAGTGCACATCCAGGCCTACTAAAGTAAAACTGCGGAACAGCAAATAGGAAGTCTGCAAAGCAGCGGCAGCAAAAGAACAGCGGACCAACAGCTGACACAGAAGCCAGGGCAGAGCTGGACAAACACCCAGCACATGACACACCAACCACCAACCTGAATGTCCATACCAGTTGGACTATCTTTCAGGAACAAAGGGAAAAAACCAAAAATACATTCTGGAAAACACCACCTGGGGGCACTGGCATAAGAAGGGTCTTGCTACAGGAAATACTAACACGTGTTCTGCAGACAGAAGGAGCGTGGCTCCACCGCGGAAGAAAAGGGATAAAGGATGAAGAAGACGGAACTACGATACTAACCCTAAACAAGAACTGACCACTAAAAAATAAGTAATTCCTTACATCATAATCACAAACAATGTGGAGGCAAGGACATTGTCCTTCACTAGATAAGCAGACCAACAGGCACATCCATGCAATAAAGCAATGAAGAGAAGGGAGCTCTGATGTAGAAACAGCTTGCATGAATCTTAGATTTGTTTTGCTACGATTCAAAAGTCAGACCCAAAAGGCTACATATTCTAGGATTCCAACTGTACCACAGAAAAGGCAAAAGTACAGAACAGAAACAGGTGGGCAGTCACCAGGGGCCGGGGAGGGAGGGAAGGCTGACAGCAAGGGGTGCACAGGGAAACTTGCAGGGGTGGAGCCGTTCTGTGAGGAATCCTGTGGTGCTGGACTGGAGTCGGGGACGGCAGGATGCACACAAGCTTACTTTAATACTTTAATGCATACAGACAGATACATACAGAATTAACTACAGACCCGTGTGTGTGCACACGGACTAGTGTGCATACGCACCCGATGAGCGACCTAGAAGCAGTGACCATACCCAGTGCCCAGGTCTTGGTTTCTACCACCATCAAATAAAAGGAACCAGGGCCCCCTGAAGAAATGGGTGACTCAGAACTGAGGCAGGGAGAGCACAAGATGAGCCTGAAGAAAGCCAGAATGTGCTTATAAGACAAAGGATGGGGCGTGTCACCAGGACACAGGGACCAGACTGAAAAAGCTCCCAACGGCGCAAGAGCTGGAATACTTGAAGCAACAAAAGAGATAAAACGTAGTTTTAAATTATAACACAAAGTATAACATAAATATACATGAGCCCATACGGATATAAACACGTGGTTAAATTAATGGGGGCGAAGAGGCACATCTTCCTTACAGAAGAATTACAAACAGAATGTGTCGTTACTCTTCCCTGCAGGAGGCAGCACATAATTTCCCTCCCTTGAAGTGTGTGCTGGACTCAGTGACTCACTTTCAAAGAGGAGAGTCTGCAAAAGGGGAAACCCGGCTGACCCTGCCGGGTAGAAGGAGATTACAAGGGCACATCGCCTCTGTGGTCAAATCCCTAACTTGAGTCTAATAATGAAAAAGCATCAGAGAAACCCAAACTGAGGGAGAGTCCCCAAAGTAACTGACCAGTGCTATTCAAAATGGTCACCAAAAACTAAGACACCGTCAGAGGCCCGAGGAGACGAAGCAGGAAAGACAACTAAAAGCAATGTGGTGTCCTGGGAGGGGTCCCAGACAGGAAAAGCTCTTAGTGGGAAAACTGGTGAAACCCAAGCAAGTCTATT